CAAATCTTTGAGTTATTTGTGGATATAAATCACTTGTCACATAGACTTTCTTCCATTCTATGATATGGTGAACCTTGTAAAAAGTAAAGCAAATTAAAAAAGAAAAAAGGAAATACTATGTTCAGAAAACAAAATAAGGGGCTGGGAAGGTAGCTCAGTGGTAGAGCACTTGCCTTGTATGCATGAGGCCCTGGGTTCGATTCCTCAGCACCACATAAGCAAAAACAAAAAAAGCTGGAAGTGGCGCTGTGGCTCAAGTGGTAGAGCGTTAGCCTTGAGCTGAAGAGCTAAGGGACAGCGCCCAGGACCAGAGTTCAGGCCCCACGACCGGACCCCAAAAAAAAGAAAAAGAAAAAAAAGAATGTTACTTTCTAGTCTGTTTTTATTTTATTTCTTCAATTATTTATTCTGAAAAGTTTTGAATACTCTGACTTAACCTTCATTTACATGATGAGGCACTTAATGTCAGAATATGAAGAGTAGATTTTGTTTAAAGAATGAAAAATGTCTCTCCATCACAGTCAATTTGGACAGCTGTCATTTAGGTGACTAGTCAAACTACACTAGACTCCAAAGAGATACGCAGTCATTGGAGCACAAACATCAGAGCCAGATTTTCTCCACTGTCCTAACTATGGCTTGAGTAAATCACCTAATTTTTCTGTGCTTAGAAAAGAGGGACCTTAAAGCCAGCTGCTGGTAGCTACTCAGGAGGCTGAGATCTGATGATCACAGTTCAAAGCCAACCTGGCAGGAAAGTCTGTGAGACTCTTATCTCTAACAAACTACACAGAAAAAGCTGCAAATGGCACTGTGGCTCAGGAAGTACTAGCCTTGAGCACAAAGAAGCCTAGGGGCAGCATCCAGGCCCTTAGTTCAAACCTCAAAACCAGCAAGTAAATAAATAAATAAATAAAAGGACCTTAAATGAGGATGACCTCAGATTTTATGTAAAAGATGATTGGAAAAATACCCAGTACACAGTAAACATCAGATACAAGTTTTCTGAGTGAAATTATCTCCAGGAGGTATAATAACAGATAATCAGATACTTTTGGGGGGAAAAATCCAGTATTATAACAGCTCTGCTGGGGAAAACAATCTGTGTCCTAAAAAGGTAATATTCAAGCCAGGTAAATGTGTGTGTGTGTGTGTGTGTGTGTGTGTGTGTGTGTGTGTGAGGAAGGATGAAGGATGAAGGAAGAGATATTGCCTAGGTTGAATCAGATAAAACACAAAACCATAATCATGATATGGAAAGCTTATCCATTGTTTACCAGAGATCTATACCATTTTCAAAGGTGAGAGGAGAAGTTAGTTGTAGGTCAGTGGAATTATCAAAACTAAAGACCTATGGAGAAGAAAACACCAGTTGTCTTATAACGTAGAAGTGCAATTTTTCTTTTCATTCACAATGCTTCAAATGACAGTTCTGCCACATATCTAACATTTCTATCTCTCACTGGATTTTTACTTTAAGGTAAGAAAAATGTGCCAACCACATGTCAAAGGATTTCTCAGACTTTGGGGATCTGGCCAACTCTGCTTTTATAAAATAAGATAAATCAGAAAAACAAAAACCTTCAAGTATGCTATGTGTCAATCTACTTATCATCTGTATATCATCAATCATCTACCTATCCATCCACTCTTCTTTCCTTCCAACCGCCCACCTATCTACCTATCTACTTACCTACCTACCTACTTACCTATATATCTTCTCACTGAGGCAACCAAACAACTCCCTAAAAGGGAACATCAGTGTGAGCTTGTTTACTCTTTAGAATTGTTCAACCAATTCACAAATTCTCCCAATTCCTCTTACAAGAACTTCACAGTATTTAGCTTCATCATTAATCCATTCAAACAGACACAATAACTATCTTAGAGTCCAGATATTTTTCAAGTTTATTTAAAAATAAATCCCCCCCCAGTCTTGCACCTATAATATTTTCCCTCAGTCCCATTGAAAGAATGTTTTGGAGCTGGGAAGTGGCGGCTCATGCCTGTAATCCTAGCTACTCAAGAGGCTGAGATCTGAGGATCCCGGTTCAAAGCCAAACTGGACACGAAGTCCACGTGAGATTCTTATCTCCAATTAACCACCCAAAAACCATAAGTGGCACTGTGGCTCAAGTGGTAGAGTGTTAACCTTGAGCACAAAGAGGCTCAAGAACAGCGCCCAGGCCCTGAGTTCAAGCTCCACAACTGACACACAAAAAAAGTGTTTTGTTGTTAACTTTTTGTGTGCCAGTCCTGGAGCTCGAACTCAGGGAGTGGGTGTTATGCCTAGGATTTTGCCATTCCAGGCTGATATTCTACTACTTGAATCACAACTCCACCTACAACTTTGGAGGTAGTTCATTGGAGTTAAGAATCTCACATATTTTCCCAACCGGGCTGGTTTTGAATCATGATCCTCAAATCTCAGCCTCCAAGTCAAGATGACCAGCTCAATGTTTTTGAGAATAATCTTAGATTTGATGAAATGTTATTAAGTTGTTTTTTTTTAAAGCTGAGGTCATTGAATTTTTAGCAATACTAAGTGATACTCTCTCTTTCCCTCTTTTTTCTGTTTCCCTCTCTCACACACACATACACACACAAGAATTGAGGTAAAAATTCAGATACTCTCCTAGTGCTTTTTTTTAAACCTATAACTTTATAATCTAACAGACTAGAGAATTATATAATGTAAGGGATTGGGTTAGTGAAGATTGAACCCAAGGTCTTGCACTTGCCAAGCATCTACTCTATTATTAAGCTATATACCAAGCTCTGACAAACTAGAAAATTAAAGTAAACACCTAGACACTTTAATAACAATCTTTTAAGACCCATAAATATATTACCTGGGTGTTTTAGGCAAGATGGTTTAGGGGGAATACAAGGCTAAATTATTTGACCCTCACACAGCCTAACAACCTCTCTAAATCCTGGCAATAAGAGAGGCCACCAACAGAGAAATGTCTCCACAGGAACCTCCCTAGCAATTTGCTTCGGTTCTTCAAAGAATCACACAAGGTGGTTCTACTCTGAAATCAGCATATTTGCACAGTCTGGAGCAATGCATTTACTCTCCTTCTACTCTGTTCTTCAGGCCTGGTTATCAATGAGCCACTGTAGCAAAACCACTTCTGTTTCCACATTTCAATTAGCAGGAAAGGGATGCCAAATGGTATAGTCTCTGAATTGTAGAGTACTTGAGCAAGACTAAGACTGAACTTCATAGGATATACAGTTCTAGTTTCTTCCCTAATATTCTCCTTTCCCACCCTGGGTAAAATTCTTTCTCTTTTCTTTCTTCCTTCCTTCCTTCCTTCCTACCTTTCCTTCCTTCCTTCCTTCCTTCCTTCCTTCCTTCCTTCCTTCCTTCCTTCCTTCCT